AGAAAGGTGACCATGAAGACCTCCGGAGGAGGTGATAAGAAGAACTAGCCACGCCTGCACGAAATGGGCTTCCTCTGAAATCAGAAGCTGAAAGCCCATGGCCATGGGACAACTTGGGAAGAATGCAAAGCCAGCGTAGTCAGCTACAAAGTTAGACAATGATCAAGTCACTAGGCGGTCCCTTTTATCTTGAGCAGTAACCGCAGCGCTCTTCCTGATCCCTCTCCCACCTCGGCCATTACATCGCAGTCGATGATTGGCAAACCATCCAAGAGTCAACTGTGATGCATCCCATCAATTGTGATGGATCCACACTTTCCTCCCCAGCGGGAATTTGCGTTGGAAGAATGGAGGTGAATAGCCACTGCTAGTCAAGGCATACTTGCCATTTAGCAGGTAATTCTGACACGAAATGGGGGAAAATTTGAAGTAGTCTGGCGACCTTAGCACTTGAATGCCTTTTCTTCTTTGCCACTTCATTCCCATTTTAATGTCACTCAAACCCTTCGCCTGAATCGAAGCAAATGGCAACATTGATGAGATACCATCCATCCGGACAATGCATATCTCGTCCACGAAATACCGTAAATGGTTCTTCATAACCGTTTTAAGGGCATTGGAGGCTACCGCCTTCTCATTTCCTGGTCATCTTCTTGCAAAGCAAGAACAACTGAACTTGACTATCGTGGCCTTTCTAAAGCGGGTTTGTCAGTAGTCAGAGACACCAAGACAGCTGTTCTTGTGGATTGGGTTCGCTTGGGCTCACTCCAGAGTCACAACAAACCCTCATTTTTTTAGGATAGGACGTCCGAGGGTCTACAGGCAAGTTTCGAGGACTATGGGAGCTGTGATTTGGGCGATAATTACACGAATTCAGAAGTCCGCATAAAAGATAATTTGCCGTTTTTTGCCAAACCATATCATTTGCAATGACGTTGACCTTACAGAGGTTAGTAGCCTGGGTAAGATGTGTCACCACGTCGGCGGTCAACGAGGAAGCCTTAACGAGAGGGAAAAGGAGTCGGTGTTCTTAAATGACTAGAAAGGTAACTTCCAAACAGTAGACGGGTTACACTTCGCTTGTTTGCTTCACCCTCGGTTTTGGTATCGGGTCAGTCAGGACGCTGCCATTGTTCCCCTGCCAGGTGGCCTGGCCCCCAGACATGCCAGTAGCCTCCCAGGTGGCTCCTCCTGTGCGTCGGCAATGCATTTCCTGTCATAAGGGAAGTCTCGCAGCACCACAGTACCATCAGGAGAGCCAGCCCTTTTGCCATGAACATCCATTGTCACATTGCCTTGACATGACCTCCTAATTCAAGGCCCATACTGAAACTAAAACAACGAGTAACTTATTCTGATAGCTGACCCTCAGATGAAGTGGGTTTTCTCCTTGTTGCCAGACGATTTTCTCCACAAGGTTGCACCTCTGAATACGAGTGGGATGAAGTTATTTTCCCCCGCCTTCCTAAATAACGCCATCTTGGCAGGTGCTGACACCTAATGGCCAGTATTTTCTGTCGCATCAAAAACATTCATTTGGGAAATTTTGGGAGATTTTCACAGACAGGAAAAAGGAGTGATAGAAATAATGATGGGACTGTGTAAAAAGGCGAAGTTTATCAGCAAATTAGGCGTGCCAGGAACATGAAAAAGGGAGGGAGGGGTGTGATGTCTCGCTTTGATTAGTGGACTACCATTTACGCACCTGCCTGCCTGCCTGCCTGCCTACCTGCCTGCCTGCCAACCTCGACTGCCCAATTCGCCAGCCCCCAATCGGCCTCCCTCCAACTGGATTGACGACGCTCACACCACTCGGCAACTTGATAGAAGAGAAGCAGTTTGACAACCGTGCGGAATTATTTTAGGAATTTACTTAAATAACAGGGCACATTTATGTGCCATTTATTGCTTGGAAATTGGTCAGCACGTCCACAGTAAGGTTACTGCTTAATGTGTTGGTAATCAGTAGTAACTTGCACTTTTGGGGTCGTTTTTTGGGTTTTTTAGAAGTTGCATCGTATCACATTTACTGCAAGTGTTAACAGCAAGTGTCACACATATGTGACAGGCCACACTTCTCACCCGATCACGCACTTACGTGCCACAGGTAATTACAGACAACTGAGCCAGAAGGGAAAGGCAAACCATAATTACTTATGACAGTCGGTGTCACTTCAAGGCTGTGCAAACATTAGAGCCGTGGTGGTGGTCAATTCCTCCTGTGAGAAATACCCCGGTTGAGAAGGTGCCGTTGATACTGGTGAAGAGCCCAGCCAGCCGCGCGTCTTATCCTCTTGACTTGCTTGACGTCTTTTGTAGACACGGGTGGCTAGTTGTGTGTCTTTGTGGACAGGAAAGTTGATTTGTTAGTGTACTGCACTCCGGTGACGTACGACTACCACTGACCTTGTCATCCCGACTGACGAGAGCGCTTGGACTGCAGTGAGTAGGCCCACCACAACCACTGCGTTCCCCCTCTGCTGGCGTGTGGTGGGAATAAAACACAGAGTTCGGCTTTAATTTCTCTCACGCTCGCATTACACCGTGTTGAATGCACAGTCCTCTCGACTCGCAGCGACTAATCGCCCGTCTGCAGACTGCAATTCATCATCATCATCATCATCATCATCATCATCATCATCATCATCATCATCACCGATGCTATGCCTTCCAACTAACCGGAGGGTGTTTTAGTGCAGGGGTGTGGGTAGGGGACAGGGATGCCCGATTGCTGGCAGTGCTAACATGTTTCATCAATCACAACTTGTGGCAAATCACCACTGTCTCACTTAATTTCCACCGAGGAGGCTAAACAACACCCTCCCCCTGTGAGCAAAGCAATCAAATGGTTTTTTTCTCTATTAGAGGAAAGCTATTTGAGAGATTGAAGGGGTGGGGGCAAGGCGTGGATAGTTGAATGTGAAAAAGGCGTAATGACACCACTTGAGTGGGAACACAAGGAAGTGGGCCAAGACACCAAGTAAATGAGTAGTAAATAAGTAGTATGTGAGTGCGTGGGTTGTGAGTGGCACGTCTGTAGACCTCTCAATTCATCCCAAACGCAGGAAGTGTCCTCGCATTCAGAATAACTTTCGATTTGTCTTGATGATTAACGTTGGACGGAGGTGTGTCTCATGTGGTCGTGACAGTTCGTGCAGTTTCCAGTACGCCTTGCTCCAACAACCTCTTCCTACTTCCCACCTCCTGACTGGCCAACACCACCAACTGGGAGACTTTAGAGGTCCCAGCCAACAGACCATGGCGAAGGTGAAATGGAATACACGAGAATGGGGGAACGTCTTGTGGCGAGGAATGCGTGGGTACACGCACCGCACGTACTCCCAGCCAACCCACATGGGTAGGCAATGAGGGCCTTCGTACTGGCGTCATGCCTCACCCGATTGTTGGGATTGGGAATTTGACGGGTGTCCAACCTCCCTCCCTCACATAAGCACCCGGTGTTCGGACAACTTCTACGCCTTACACCGACTTACGAGGCCTCGAACTCCATTTTTGTGGTTGACTAAGGGGAATCTGGTCCAGTTGTACATCACACTGCGACCGCTCCAAAGCGAGACATCATCTGTCGTGGATGGGTGAAGTGAACCACTGACATGGAAATCCACTTTCTGTTGCTCCTCGGTCAGCCTTGAGCAGAGCCAGGCATGCAAATATTCCACGTTGCAGCTCACAAGGAGGACGCCACCATCAGATCTGTCGAAGCCTTCCAGATGCATTTATCCATGTTGAGGTCAAATGTCCTGTCGACTTGAGGAAACATTGATGTACGACCTTCGCTCGTGGCTGGAGGGCTACAGCTTCGTGGTGGGTGAATCGAAGGAGACGAGTCTGTGCACGTCGTGGCCACATCACTCATTCTTCTTTGTGACCACAACATGGCAAATTGAAAGGCATGCAAAGAGGTTAAGCGGTTGCGGAAGGAGAATTGGCATTAAAGGAATGCAAGTGTGACACAGTGCAACCCCTTCCCCGCTCTTTATTTTGCTGGATGAAACTTCTCGAGAATGTTGATGCCTTTACCCCTTGCACTAGCTGGCAGGTGAACGGGCCTGATGGGAGGTGATTTTCTCCTACTTTTGAAACGAGATAAGTCCCCTGCCAAAGTGTTGTGAAACACTTAGAGAAGATGCGGCAGCAGATTTTTCCATTAGGACTCTAAAGAAGGAGTGATATGGTTCTCCTAATAAGGCATTCAATGGCGCCGTCCATATTATGAAAGCATGGAATAAGCGATTGCGAAGTAACTTGTAAAAGCAGTTTTCACAATAGCTCATGTGAGTAACGAAGCGATTTGATGACAGTCATGTTAACTGCCGAAGTGGTGGAAGACAAGAGGCTGAGCAAATAGGCAACGTGTGGCATGTATTAACAGATCACAGGCTACTGTTAGCGCAAACTACCAATTCGACGATCCTGACACCGACCGACCTACTGGCTGATCTTGGATGAGGAATGTCTTTTGTATTCCAGTGGAAGCAAGAGGGACTGCTTGCCTGACTGATACTTACTCTTGACAATTGTAGAAGAAAATGATTTGAATGAGTGCCATGGATTTGGAATTGAGGAATTTTAGTTGCGTAAAAGCAGACTTTGCAGTTAGCTCACGAGTTCTGAAAAAATGCTCCTAATTTTGCATTGTAACTGTAAGTATGTCGTCTCCGGGGCCTTTTTGCCATCGGATTGACGTTAAAATTGCGAAAAATACTATAATTTACTTTCTGACTTATATTTCACAGCATTCATATGCTTACAAATACACTAATATTTATTGTCAACATATACTAAGTACTGGATAACTATAGCATTTTCAAGGTGAAATTCAATGGTTTTTATGTTACTTATTTATATAAGTAGAATACACCAAATTAGATACTCGTACCAGTTACCATATGAATCTTATTAGTTGATTTTGTTAGATCTAATTGACTGATTCACCTAACCAGTTAATGATACAGAGGTTAATCACCTGTGTTAATATCTACCGGAAGGGACACAAAGTCCCCTTAAACACAAGCAAACTGGAATATTTAATTAATTAATAGATGCTGCCTTCTTTTGAAAAAGTGCAGGTAGGGAAGGAGAATAGTTGCTTCCATGCACACCATTGAGTCGCATATTGTTGCACGGGTGGTTGCATTTTGGCCTTCAGTAAATGGGCAGTTCACTGGGGACAATTGCGTGGACACAGAGACAGCAGGGTCCTCTTCACACCTGCGTCAGAAGTGTGCTCGTGAATACGAGCATTTGTACTTTTGTTCGTCAATCAGTCAGTCAGTCTTTGATTGCAGCAAGCTGAGATCTGGTAATGCATGACACGCGATGTCCTTTTGTTCAACTTCTTGCCTTTCATCACTCTTGTAGATGAGGTAAGTGTCAACGAGTTGTTTCATCACTCACACATACTACAGTGAACAGTTTTTTTTGTGGCGAACGGAATGCCCTTCTAACCGTGATAGCATTAGGTGATACAAGTTCCTCCTCCACTTGATTCCGCTAGGCACTTTCTGCTGCGGCACCCTCTCAAAGCCATCTCAAGTAAAATTAACCTCTAAATCAGAACCTCCGGCTCGCCTATGCCATTACCGACCTTAAATAAAAATTTTTCCATAGGCGTCATTTTTAAACAAATTTGCAGTCCAGATTATAATCGCTGACGCTTCGAATTTTATGACCTCCATTGCGGCCCTGTCAAGACTTTTAGTGGTCGAATGTTGAATCATTTTCAGTTTATAAAAAAATACACATAACTCCTCAACTCTAGGGCTGTCAGGTGCCTACTCCGCTAAATGTATAAATCACAATTTGTAGGCTTCCTCCGAGTGCTTACAATGTGACAAACGCCATCGTGATATTTGAGTGCATTTGCTTTAATTTCTCGCCTCAAATTTCGTTTAACACCTGCTCGTTAATAAAGATTAGCTTCTTCATTAATCTTATCAGGTGTTTCGGCCTCTAATTTTACCGATTTTCGGTAATCTTCACGATACACCGTCTTCCAGGTCTGGGCAACTGTCTTGATATTTCCACCAGCCGCCCCATTGGCCGAAGCTCAACCAATCAGGTCTGTCGCAGAGCGGGTCATGTCTATGGGGATGGTAAATGGCCCACAGCATTTGTGACGATTACGCATGTAGACGAGGTGCGCTGAAGGAGATGATATGGCTGCATCGCGACTACTACTGACGTGATTTAAGGCAGTATATATGCATAGTCGACAATGGCTAAAGACAGGGAATATACTCTACCCGAGGGATTGAGTCTAAATCTCACCTGCCGTTTTCGGAAAGGACTAAAAAGTCCCATCACCTGGCAAAAGAATGGAGTGGATCTCAGCCCCATGGATGAAAGTCAGTCGGCTAAAATTGTCGAAACCAAGTAAGTGGCCTCTTACTTTTTCCGTTCCACATTCATTCGAAAACCGTAAAATTTGCAGAAATGCGCCACGATTTTTTCGTAAATAGATCAGTGAATTGAACAGAATTATTTCTGCAAGAAATTTCTATTAGATTAAACATTCAATATTCACAAGGAATTTTTCATTTGCCATGTTCTGATATTACTATTGTTTTTTTAAAGCTCATTTCCATTTATATGACCTTAACTCCTCTCCGCTTTGAAATGGGTAACGATCAAGGAACGGGAATATCATTTCCGATATTCAATTACTATTTCAAATAAACACAACTGAGTATCTATAATTTCATCTAACTTTAAAAAATAAACACCGCTAATGATGCATAAATCCACAATAAGACGACTTTTTTTCCAAATTCTTCCCAGAGGGATGGGGATCTATGCACGGCACTGTAATGTAGAGAATGTGGATGATTTACCGTGTCTCACGCATTCAGAGGTGGTGCATTAATTAAAGGCAGTTAGCAGATCCCCCTCTTCACTCCCCTCACCTTTTCCACCTGCCCTCCTCCTCTCCCTCCTAATTGTGGTGGCGGGTGTCCATGGTCATCGAACATTTTTATGATCCAAGCTAAGTTGAAAAATTTCGCTGCTTTCTGTCAAACCCACGATGGGAGGTGTTTCGAGTGAAAGAAGAACATAAATCAGTGACTTTTTCGGCTTGACACAAACTGTTTACTGGAAAGGAGAATTTCTTTTTATTTTTCCCTTCATTAACTTTGGTCAAATTTAGTGGACAGAGGGTTATGAGCAACTCACACAGTTAAGTTGTGAGGCACTGCCCCGTGACAGTGTGACCTGAACACCTCTTTAACGGGAATCGTAAATAAATGCCAAAAGATTTTGTCTCTGTAAATTAAGCCTGCCATTAGAGGACCTAATCCCATCACACACGATATCAAAACCATCTACATCTGCCTTTGCAACGAAAAATACCGTTTGTGTAGGTTAGCAAAAGCGTATAAGAAGGCGAAGCATAATCGGTCAAATGTGGCGCAGTTTGGAGGCAGTCCCCGGGGAATGAGGGTGTTGAAATGGAGCTCCGCATGAGAAGCGATTGCATTTCGCATAAATGGAAGAATCAATTTGTCTTTTATGGCCCTAAGCTTAGTCTCAAGACTCACCTTGATTGGAGATTTTTAAATAAGGGGAAAAACTTGAATCCTCCAAGTTTTGCAAAATGCGACATGATTTTTGCTCAAATTTTTATGTAATTTTAATTTTTACGTAGTCATTCTTCTCCAAAACAAAAGGTGTTTTTGGTGGTCCGCTCAGATGCAGATCTCAGGAGAAATTAAATGCTCTCAAAGTAAATTGACGATATAAAGCATAAACTTGTTCTCAATGCATTTAACGCAAGATTCCAAGTATTAAAACCTCTTTAACAAATTACAATTTTGATTTGTTTTAATTGGGACTGCATTGCAATGAGTTGAATAAGCATAAAGTTTGAAACTTGAGAAAAAGGAGGAAGAATACTGGGTACTCTTAAAAATAAAGCACCCACAGAACCCTTGCATTGTCTGTGTTGGTGAGATAGCAAAGTAACTCTGTATGCGAATGGAGTCGACGCACCGAGTTATCACGATATGCCTATTCAGGCCATAAATTGGACAACCTAATCTATGATTGGGAGATAGTGAAGTAAGTAGTAAAATGTAAGGCTTTAACATCACAAGTTGATGATGAGAGATAAAGGTAAGACCGCATCGAGGACTTTTCTTTGAAACAGCTCCTCTCCAGTGCTGAAACCTTTTTAAGTACACTTGAGGGCCTCTGTTTTGGGTATGCAAGTGATCGCAAGTGGATTTTCTTGCATGGACTAAATAAATAACTTTCGAGTTTGATCTTTAAAAATAGACTGGTTACATATGCACCAGTTAACGTTGTGAATTTCATTGCACTTAAAAATGCCACTTTGTTTTTTTTTCGGTGAATTTTACTCTGTTTTTACCAGCAGATTTACGTGAGTAAATGATACAGGTTTCTCTGGTGAGAGCAATAAATACCCGTATCTTATGAGCTAAAAAATAAGTCACTGACTCCATCTTTTTTTCAATTTATTTAAAGCCTGCTCTCAATGTTGATGCTGACAAACTTGACACAATCTGACGCAGGAAATTACAGTTGTCAGAGCATTCGAAAGTCTGGATTTCTATCCCAATGGATCTACATCCATGGTGGGTACATTGTCCGAGTGAGAAAACCACTTTTTTTATTAAAAACATCTAAACGTCTTCATGTCCTAGACTAGATTTACTTTATTTAAGGTCACCTAAATGTCAACCTGGAGAAACGCATTCTTAAGGTAGAGAATCTACGAATAACAGTTGCTTTTAAAGACATGGCAAGCTCTTGCCGGCTGTTAATCCAAAGATATTTAGCTCAAGAGCTTGTGAGTATGAAGAGGGGGTTGGCTTTCGGGCAAACATAAAGGAGAATTAGAAGACTGTCAGCGTAAGCAGTGTCACAAGCAGATCTCTGGACCTCCGTCGTGATGGCCGAAACTAAGAAGACGGAGAAGGTGCTTACAACTGTGCGTATGGATAGTTAATATAAGTATCGCTTCAGTTACTAAATAAGGAAAAAATCCACCCTTACTGTAAGCATTAGCAAAGTCTTTGTGATTTGGTTATTACACCTGCCACCTATCGCCATATAGTGTCCCTTGTTAGACACGCAATTGCAATTAAGCCACAAAAAGGCGTAAAAGTCCACCCCTACATCACTTTTCTCTAAATAAACTTCTGATTTTAGTTAAAGACCAAAATGGGGACTTGAATGGGTCAAGAATTGTTGCTGACGAACGTAAGTTACGGGTTCCTGCTCTCTATTTAGGAGAAACACCTAATTTTATGTTCATTATGAGACTCACGCAGGATTTTATGTTATAATACGACTTAAAATGCCCTTTCCACTCCATTAGACTACATGTTTGTTACAGGTTCATGAAATTTTAAAGATTTATATGATGCACTTTGTGAATTCAAAAGCCTCCCAAGGTTAAAATTGGGGAGGCATAAATTGGGTTTTTAATCCGTAATGTGAATAAAGAAGTCAGTTTCATTTCAGCTGCTCTAGTCAAGTAAAAATGATGGTATCATCTGACTGTAAGATGTGGTTTCAAGAAATATTTCATAGACAGCAAACAAAGGAAGCGTTTTTGACTCGACTGACAGGTTGTTAAGCATACATGTGACCCGTCGTTTAAAAATGGTTGCATATTTGCTTTTTGATTTCATTCACAACTTATAAGTAGTAAAAACAGAAAATTAGTGGTATTTGTTTATTTTTTTTCTGTGTCTCTGTCATTAGCGCATTCCAGATGTCAAGGCGTGAATTGCAAGAAACAATGCGCGGATCCGTCAAAGTAAATCCATATTTACTTTATTACTAAAAATCGATGATTTTTTTTTTCATTATTTATGGCTTTAAATAAAACTACGAGAAACTACTTATTAGGTAAAATTTGATTCTTCAATGCTAGACGCATCAACCCATCATTTTCACTGATTTGGTTACCATAGTATCGGTAATTGATCAAGTTTAGGAAAAGTCCTGTAATATAGTGCCACCATATAAAGGGCATTCAAGCCTCATCGTAGTTTAAACCAGAAGAACTTAAAATGAAAACTATGCTTAATTTCCACCTAGTCCTCCTCCCTCTCCCCACGCCTCTCTGTATTTATACCCTTCCCCACCAACGTTTGAATAATATTTGGAAGTCGACCTTAAGAAGGAAGGATCACTTGCTTTCGTCAATCAGCAATCAACTCTCCTCTGCTCTTCAGAGGAGAAGAGGCGTTTGTCTTAGTATTCATCGTAAGGTCACTCTGTACCCGTGTCAACCCTTCTCGCACGAAGAATCAGGGCTTGTTTGAATCAGAACTTCTTCCAGTGTCCACTTATTATTGTGGCTAGAATTTAATAGCCACAGCTAGGATCTCTGCTGCTTGTCTAAACCTTTCATTTGCCTCACCGATGGAGAAATGATTGCTTAATCAGTTTGCCTCTTTTGAGATCTTTCACTCCTTAGTCGACAAGGCAACATATCGCTATACATCATTATCTGGGAATTACCAAAGTCATGGGGATCATTAGTTTCTCCCTGTCAGCATTCCCTTTTACTAGTCCCAGGTCAATTAAAATGCCCTCGTTTAGGCTAGTTGTCAGAATCTTGATGCTCTATAACACAAACAATAAATTCTTTTTCAGTTGTAAACCCAAGAAGGCAGACATTACCGCCAATCCATCACCTGTCCGCGAGGATCACCATTTCCTGGAAATGGTTGGAAAAGGTCTTCCAATTATCGAGGCTACCGAGCCCCATGCATTCCACCTAGACAATGATTTCCAGTCCTCCGATGATTACCTCAACGCAGTCCACCTCTCCGACACCTGTGACAACGCCCTTGAAGGTACATCGTCCTCCCTCTGATTGGTTGAAATGAGGTGCCGTCTCTTCATGGCACTGCCACCTCCACAGCAACATTTTACACTACAACTCAACGAATTTTCCAGCCACTTTTAGTAATTGCTTTAGCAGAGCCATTCTGTAGGAGAAAAAATGAATTGTTTATTTATAGATCATTCGAGCTACGCAAAATGCACATACAGATGGGGAGAGCGGGAGAGAGAGAGGAAGTTATTTTATTTCCGAATCAAAGGTAGGTAAATGGGTAGCAAGGTGGGTCGGTAGATGGGTGTTTGAACAATTAAGCACCGCTGATTTAGATAAATCACCCTCCACATTTATTAGGAGTAATATTGGCTGAAAAAAAGAGGCGAACGAAGTGCAATTTCGGTACTCACTTTCACCTTTTTTTCAATGAAATGGAGGCAAGATCTTGCAATAAATCGGAGAGGGGTATGAATATTTCCTTATGTGGGATAAGTACTGTTAAGGTAATCAAAAATGTCTTGTTTCTGAGCTTTATTTTTAAGAGGCAAGGATAGCAAGAATGTGTGCGTATGTGTGCGAGTCTTTTCCGTGTGTTTTGGTCCACAGACCACGGTTTTGTGAGCGACCGACACAAAGCGACAACTGTCCCTCTAGTAAGTATCACAAATGCCGCGGAAGAAGATAGGAAGAGCCGCTTTTCTTTTGTTTTTTCCTAAATGAGAGCTGGTTGGTTAAGTCACATACGGAGTGCTTGACGCAGTGTTCAAGTCCAAACGAGACTCCAGAGGTGGCAATTAAAAAAGGACAAATATGGCATCCTCTAGTAAAATCCTCAGCCCTTTCCCAAAAAAATCAAATTATTTTTTACTTAATAACTTAATTTGCTTTCTAGGTAACACTTACAAAGCCGATAAGGCATTAAAAGCCCCTTCGAAAATTCAGTACGGTGTGTGTACCAGCTCTTAGAAGTTGGAGATGCTAAATAGGCACCTTTTTTCTCGTTCCAAATAAAGAAATTAACTAATATTATTTACTGTGCTAATCAATTTACTCTCAGCAATGAATGAAGTACTATTGCTGTGGATTATAGACGAGTTCCTTATGGTTAGATCGTCGTGGATAGAGGTGAAGCCACCTTTAGAACGTTTAGGGCTGAAAAACACCTTTCCTTAATTAAATAATTCCAAATATTTTATAACTTTACACCTTTTAACGTGCTTACAACAAAAGCACTCCTGACGCTTACTACAATAGCATCTTTTTTGTTAAACTAGTCAAACCCAATAGTGTCCGACTGACTTGAACAAAGTTTTTACCACTTTGTCCTTAACCTCTCGTAATAGTCAAGTTAGGATTTACGAGTTAATTGAGCTGTCGTTGCTCAAGTAAGGTAAGGTATTTAACTGTCTTTGTAAATGGAAGTTCATTGGCTTTTTGCCCACCCCATCTAGGCTGTGTGGACCGTTTGGGCAGTTCGACAGCTCTCATAGGCATCGGGACGATGTGCAGCCTCTTCTTCATTGCTGTGATAATTTCCGCCTTTTTCATCAGGTGAGAAACAGTTATCACTTTACTCCTTTTCATCACTACAATCCCTCATTTGTGCGCTTAGCAAGTTTGCTACCCGCGTCACATATGTGTGACGCCACAAATTTCTGATCTAAAATGCGTGGTACAGTTTCTCTTAACACAAAGCCAACATTTACTAGAAGACGGATCAGTTATAAGGAAAATCTTTATCAATTAGCTTGAAGAGAGGAAAGGAATTTAGCTCTTGATAAATCCAAATTTATTCCACTTTCCAACAGAAGAGAGAGATATATTTAAAGACTCCCCGTTTCCTTTTCTTTCTTAGCCGAAATGAAACTGTCTTGCCTTATTTCCTATAACTTCGATAAAAAAGTTCCCCCTTGTGTGGAGAGGGCATTACTTACTCTAGCATAATTCGGCAGAAAGGACCCAATTTATTTGTGTGAATTTAGGGAACGATTTTACTTAGATTAAAAAAACAGCGAAATTAAACATTTGAAAGTGATTTATGACCCCTCAGAATAAGTTATTAACTCCTTCAAAACGAATCAAGGCAGAATTCATCTTCGATCAAGGCACCGAACCGCTGAATAGCATGTAAGTAGTATGGAGCAATTAAAATATTACTGCAGAATGTCAGGTACCTCCGAAAAATCTGTTCCGCCTCGAGGTTTTTTGCAGGTTACCCAAGTTTCCCTCGTTGCAAGACTGCTAGAAGTATTTCACGGTCGACACTTTTCCTAGGCTCCTCCTAATTGGCCAGTCATTAACTTGGCGGCAATCTGAATGTGCTCCCCTCCACAACGACGCTGAAGCCACTCAAAAGGGCATAAACACGTGAGAAGGGGAGTACCACCGTTTCCGTCAACACTTCCGGTTTCGCACGTAGGGTGTCGAACTTACCAACGGCGGTTGTTGAAGTCTTTGTCGCTCTGTCGCTTCAGTTGTGGTTGCCGGCTCATATGTACTCGCCTAAAGCGAGGTCCCCCAGGGATTAAAAATATTTAAGTCGTTTTGGTATGCCTCTTTACGATCGCTGGGGCCTTGTCCTTCACCTTAGCCGTGCAGTCGCCTGGGTAGTCATGCGCTAGTCCGTCAACACAAACTCTCTCTCCCCTTTTTTGTGACCTTCGGCACCACAAAATGTTATTTGGGTTTTAAAAGCATCTTTACTTCGGCTTGTAAGTTAGAAAAAGTTGTCTTCAATTTTACTGTTGTGCAATTCATGGAATGCTCCAGCTAGGACCAGGCTTGTGGAGAGGTTACCCGCCTCCTCAATAGCAAAAAGATTGAAGTGGTCCCCTCCTCCTCCTCCCCCCTACCCCCTCCCCCCCCCTCCTCCCCCCCTCCCCCTCCCCCTCCCCCTCCTCCTCCTCTGAACACGCTTAATAAAAAAACAAGATCACACAAGTACATGGTCTTAAAGTACAAGAGACCTTCAAAATGTTGCAATAGATACTTATTTTCTTATAGACCACTGAGTGCGGTAGTACTTTGCTGAGCATGTAAGTAGCATACAGCTACTTCCTGTGGGTTATGGCAAACTGCACCAGGGAGGAGGTGGCAGGCTTCTGTCACTTGCTAGGTGTGTGTTTGTGGGCACCGTGAGGGTAAACCTATCGTTCCTGACATGGTAGGTGTGAAGTTCCTAAAACCTCCACTGAAAGCCACCCCTATGAGCGGACTGTAAATGTTACATCGGCCTAGAATGTCCCGATTTGTGGCAGGCGTGTCACACATATGTGACACTCCAATTTTGTTATCTCAGTCTGGTGTCACAAATCTGCGACAGGTGTCCTGCATGTCTTTCTAATAGCTGGTTGAATGCGCAGAACTGAGGGCTGAATAAATAAACCCAGTTTGATTAGGAGTTGGACCTTTTGCGCACAGAAGTCAGCTCGATTCCAGAATTGGAGATGGCTTCGTAGACAAAATGATCCCGGTGTCAAGCGAATGAATGCAACAGGCTTCTTGTGCCTCTCACTTCTTCATTGCGCAATAGAAACAACACGATGTGGAAAGAGAACAATCTACCAGTTCCCCAATCAACTAACTTTTAATAGAGAATGTATTTTGCATCCCAAAATTCCTTGCGCAAGTAAACAAGTCAGTGGATGTCTTCAAAAGATGTCTTCACTACCCACCCTCACACTATTTCATGTCCAGAAGATGGCTGATGGAGCTGATGGCCAAACAGCGAACACGGCCGACATCCACCTACCTCTTGGCAAGATACTCCGAGGGGGTTCAAGAGGGGTCGATGCTTTAGAAACGGTCATTTTTTTGATACCGACAGGAGGCTTCGCCTCTCAAACCCCACCCCTGATTGTGATGCGAGCAAGAGGCTTTTCAGCCTCCGTACTTCCCTGCTAATCACTCCTGAAGTGATGATGGAAATCACCTTTTCTTGGCAGTTACGGTTAATATTATTAATTGTAAACTCAGGTGGCCGCAGAGGTGGAGACCCCGGCCACTTTTAATCTTATTGGATCGAAAAACAAAAAGTTCTATACTATGGAAGTTCAGGTTTTTTCCCGGTTATTATAATCAACTCCCCAATAATTTTGCTTAAATCTTCCACTTAACTGATTCATTCTTAAGGTCGCCTGTATCTTATTAAAAGAAGCTTCTCAAAACCTCGACTTACGATGTGAATATTCGTCAATTTTGCCTTACCATCCTTTGTTGCCTCGATCTTTCGTTATAAATTTAAGCTTTAAGAACTACTCATAGTGAGAAATTAAAACTCAGATTATGAATTATTGGGATAAGTGTCTACGATTCCAATGGTTTTTATCAGAATAAATCCAGCAGCAAAAAAAAAAACAAGAATATACCCTTAAGTAGCGGAAAGAAAAAGCGGGATTTAATTCTCTAATTCCAACCCTATAATGCACAACTTGCTTTTCTTTCCTTCTTATTAATTTTATTGAGGGTTATGGATTTTTATAAGTAAACGAAATTTTGATCCCGCAGCTGATGTCAAAACCTTGTCATATTTACCACACTTTATTTACTTAGCAATCGCTGTCAAGTAACTACGCAAAACTTCAAATGTTCATTCCACTTTGGACGATGTCAAAAAATGAAGGCTCCATTCCAAATTCCCCAAAAAAATCATCGACTGTTTAGAAAAGAATTAAGTGCATAGTCGTGGTGTACAATTATTAGTTGCGATTATAAAATATTTTTGTTGCTAAGGTTTGATAAACCAAAAGAAACTAGACTTGATTATCAGGATAGGCAATATCTGTTTTTACTTTGACAATACACTCCTTATTTTTTACACACTATACCTGCCTGGGACAAAATACCGGGTTTTTTAAAGCTTTTAATGTACAGGAAGAGTGGAAAAACAAAAACTACTGATTTGCCCTGGTCGGATTTTGTGTTAATTCCCAGTAACTTCTGGATTGGGCTGCATAAAAAACACCGCTTTATCTAGGGATAAATGTAAGAAGTCTTTTTGGGGTAATTATGGGTGTACTGTTGCCTCTGAGTTCCGCATCATGTCCTTCCACTAACAGACCTTTAATGACTCATTCGTAATTCTCCAATTTCAGACGCAAAATTCTGCGACAGCAGCGACGAGTTTTGCGGTTACAGCAACGCGACGTGAGTTGCCACTTCTTCTTGCTCTTGCTGGCCCTCACTCACTCACCTACTGACGCTCTCTCTCTGTCTACTTTTTCGTGTGGCACCCTTTTTGAAAGTTTTCTCCGCTTGGCGAACTCTTTTTGCTTCCCTCAAACTGCGGTCACTTGAGCACGACGCATCGATTTGGCGGCTGTGGACGCCTACAGAAGCGCTGCCGACAGCGTCGTTAACCGCCCTCTCAATACACCCGGGAGTTTCGCCTGGCGGTGCAGTGATTTTTGAATGGCTGCACACTTTACTGCATTTCTATGCTAAAAGTTGTGAGATGAGGACAGATTTATCATCATCAAGGTGGCTAAGGTAGTGCAAAATGAATTAATAACCTGGTAATGTTAAGCGGAATTTTCCCTTTTCAAGCGAGTGGTTTGAATATCTGGGAGCAAAAATACTGTCAAACGACTTATACCGCCTTGTCAGCCCTAGGCTTGGCTGAATGTCGTGGCAAACCATCGCAGTTTACCGAACGGAAAAACCGAAAAAGTGTGACACCGATCAAAAACCTGCAATTGCACACTTCCAGAAGTCCGCGCTGTTAATGCGCCAATTAAAACAAATAAAGTGCAAATTGGGTGTATTTGCGCATTTTTTTAATTTTACGTGAGAGTTTTTTGTCCTTATTCACTCATCGTCAAATTACTCTTTTTTTTCCTTATTTCGACGATAAATTCGCTGATCCGACGAAACATGGAAGATTTCCTTTCAGTTAAGGGCTAACGGAGCCAGAAAGAATTGACAAATAGCACGTATTCACTTTAATTATACTGAAGATTCAACAAACTTGAGGATTTCTCATGAATTCCTTTTTTGCCCTGGAAATACATCAAAATTTCGAGTTTATTTTTTATTCCAGAGGGCAACAAAAGCTGAGTTTTTCGTCACCATCTCTCCAAGCCCAAATACGCTTTGATCAGTACTAGGCGAGGTTGGAAAGTTGACGTGGTTGCGGATGTTCCTTTTTTGTTGTGAGCCAGCACGCAACCATCCATCTACCGGAGGTGCATTCCTTCGAGTTTGGGGAAAATAAACGCATCGTTGTTCATTTTGCATCGAGTTAGCTTGCCAGTGCTATATCTTAGGGCCAACCCAAGACCCAACATGGCCTCTCGGTATGAAGTTTTTGCCTGTAGATGTCCAAATATCCTCTTAAAAATAGGGCTAGAATGAGAATCTGTTTTTGATAAGTACCTCACTTCACCACAAAATTGGGTTGAGCTTGATGTGTTACTCTCATTCCCTAATTGCCCCACTTATCCCGAACTTGGCATTATGATTGACTAACTCCAAAAAAGATGGGATAATCACTTAGGGGAAATGTCAAGGGAAAGTCGGGAAATCGTGGCGAGGATGAAACAGTATCCTCATTTTCCCTCGCCTCCCAAACCAAGGCGCATTTCTTTTCACAAGTCGATCTTGTGGTAATCCTGTCAGGAACCTCAAGATGGCGCATTTCATAACCTATGTATAAGGCGCGATGAACACATTGGTAGGCTTTGATCCACGACTTTCCCCTTTTTGTTGAAGTAGGTGCAAAGCAGTTATTCCAAGCCTTGTCAATGTCAGTAGTGGCACGTGGTTCCACATGACCAAGAAGAGGTGGTTGCCAAGGCGATGCTGTCTTTACCTTTGAGTGATATTTCTTTTCCACTACTGCGTCTTCTTCAAACGCGACGCAACAATCTTGCCCTTGTTGCTTCCACAGCATTGGGGCTGAGCCAAATCCACATCTCTTCGCAAATAGGTTCGAGTCACATCCACTAGGGTTAAACCAACTCGTTCTATGACATGAGACATTGAAAAAAAGCACGTGGAATTTCAGAGAATACTGCTAGGCAAACACATTTTGGTGCTTTATAATGCATGCAAGTAGTTACCTGCAATTCCTCCCCCCCAAATGCAAAAATCCTCGTCACAGCCAGCCAGTCACACCAGGAATTGCAGTTTTAAGTCGGAGAAGAAGAAATTTACTGGTTAAGTGTTATCTAGGCAAAGTAAAGGGAGACAGAAACGACACGAATTTTGTTTCCAATGTAATACGCTTGTTGACTCCTCCTCAGTCTTCAATGCATAGCAGTTGAAAGACGTTGGAAGGAAGCAGCCGATGTGTATGTCAAAAAGCAAAGCTAGGTGTAGTAAAAAAATACCGCACTGAAAATGAAATATCTTTATGGTAGCTATTTGGGCCAACCCACCGGACGCAACTCCCTTTTGTTCGCCCACGAGGGTAATACCAGGTAGACAGATGGAAATGTTGTCTCAACTCAAAGCAATTAAAAGTGTCCAAGAAGTAAAATAAGCAAGGAAATTTCCATTTTAATTTCACAAATGTGCTACTGTAGTTTGCACGTAATTATGACAATTGCTTTATTTAAAATAGCCTAACTTAGAAGGAAAAGATGTAATCTCTGTGCACTGGACAGCAAAACACTTCATAATGTTTTAGGAGGATTACCTTTTTCACCTTTTTTGCTGGTCAATTAATTACTTGTTAATTAAAAATATCTGTTCTAATTTGCTACTCTCTAAAATCAGAACTGTCAAACACCAAAACATTTTTAATCTTCTTATAAAAATATGAACCTTGAGTAACTTAATATCTCTTTAAAATCAAAATGTATTCATATTCAAATATTTTGTAAAAATACGAGCTTCTAGCAAATTAATATTCTACAGAAGGCGATAAAATCACTTCTATGCTTTTTTCCTTTGCCTTGTGCTCTGAACAGTAAATGACTTAGCGTATTTTATGTGATGCACATTTGTTTTAGAGACAGGATAGTTTACCCACGCCACCGCGATATTCGTCTCATTTGAAAAGGTCACGGTTATACAAAACTAGAAATGCATCCTCATTTTTTAGTCTCATGGCAAAATAACTGCAGGATAAAAATCTCTTGAAATTAGGAAAAAATATTTAACGTATTTTTGTCTGGATTCCAAAAAAGCAGAAGGCTGCAGCAGAATGAGGAGTTCTTTTTTAAATCAGTCAACCTTTCCAGTGAGGCACAAACCAAGTATGACTTCTACTTTTGCAGCACAAAAAAAATTGTTGATAGAAGTATTTGACAGTGGCTAACTCCTAGTTACCTCATTTTCCAGCACACCTTTATTCCCTCAACCATCTGTTTTGATTAACACCTAGTCATGTGGTTGGCTTCTGTGTAGAAATGATGGTAGCTTTTACCTGGCACGACTTGACTTTGAAGAGGGCGATAGGGCATAACCTCTGTCCTGCCTTAGTAGACGTTAACTCTTCCCACTGCTGAGAAATAGGGTCCTTTTCACTGAATGACTAGTCCTAGGCTAAGGCCAGTGGGTGGACCTCACCCATGGATGTAGTTGTTTGGCCTCCTAAAGGTGGCGACACACACACACGCACACACAACAAAGGCCTGGTCTGCTCGGGGTGAGAGTGCGTGTCCCGGAACTGTGGGGTGGACAGTGGATGGTTCGGTTGGGATACGTTCGCTTTTAAAAGGGAATGAGTTTAAAACAACTTTGTCTCTCCACGCTTTAGTCAGCTAGTGAGTCACCTAAAAACTAATCCCTCCCAATGATGCGATTTTATTGCCCACGGGAAGAGAATTTTTTAGCCTCTTAATTTATGGGCCAATAGTGGCACGTGATTCTGCATATCCGAGAATTGAAGGCATTCCTAAACCCAACAAGAAATGTGAAAGTAAAGTGGACAGGAAATAGCAGAGGAGACCTAACCGGAGAGTCAGTCCTGATGGATTGCCACCTGTCCATGGTTAATGGCGAACGCACAGCGTTATTTTGCAGGTATAACAAAAGCCTCGACACCCAACAGATCTCGCGCCCTCCTTTTTTGGGTGGGTCTCCTGTAAGCCACTTTGTTGCAAAAATATCTACCAACTTATCATAGGTGCGCAATTCAATGACATTTAATGGCTTTTATTACTTTTCCCCCGTGATAAGCACCGGGGAATTTAGCGTCCATCTTTAATAAATTTAAGCAATGCGAAAATGTCGGATCATGAAGGAAGGCGCTGCGGAGGGTTCGTTCACGTAGAAATAAAGGTCGAGCTATAGTAGAAAGATTTACTGTATCTTTTCCTCCTTCTCACCACCAAATTAAACACTTTTTACTGCTTAATAAAACTGAAAAACCTTCTATATTTCAATCGAATCGACACATCTCTCCGATTTGTTGATGCGCTATTTACGCGTCTGAAGCGTTCCAGCACCTCAAGGTAGGTGGCTGATGATACCGTCAAACTTTGAGTCATCTCTGATGTCGCAACCATGACATCCTTGCCTAGAAAGGGAAGAATGGTTCACCTCAAGCGTCTGGAATAGCCAAGGGTGGTGTCAACCTTGGAAGGGTGAAAAGTTGAGGTAATTAAACAAGTGTCTTTCCGCCACGTGACCTCCCATACTAGAAATGGTAAATTGGTTGGTCTACACTATTTTTTGCTCTTGCTACTTTTCAGGACACGGTTGGCAGTCAACTAACATTGGACTCTTTTCCCACTTTCTTGCATTCTGTCATGATAACAACCTGGACTTATAAACATTTATATTGGCAAGCTTTTAGAGTCTATGTGACAATAAACCATAAAAGTTAATTTAAAATTCGTTACTTTTTTATCATTTTTAATTATTTAAAACCTCGCTGTTATAAAAGCTTGTTAAATGCAGATAACACCAGTTTCGCTTCAAGTGTCACGCATATGTGACGTATCACTGCCACTAAGACGTAGAACGCTGCTCTTGTTGTTTTTCAAATTCTTTCTAAGGGTATTTTTCGTAACTCTTTTTTCCGGACCAAAAGTAGGCTAAGAAATGGTAATTTTTCACTTAAAGTCACAAATCAGTAAGAACATACGCTCTGCTTGCACCTTCAGCCAGCTTACCGTATCCTTATTCCCTTGGGGGGGAGAGGAGAGATATAAAAGTGGTACATTATTCATTTTGATGGAATTTTATTTCCGCCGTGTAATCCTAAAATTGGGTCCTTGTCTTCCTCCTCGTCCTCCCCCTCTACCAACGTGACACATACACCCAAGCTGTGCCCCATTCTGCCATGCATCCAGTGGTCTCCGTTGTAGAGGCAAACAACCGAGGTAGTAGGCACTTCTAATTTTACTTTTATTTTCCGAGTCCATTCTCCTTCGTGATTGCGTGGCTGCCTTCTGCCAAGAAAAGACGACAGTGCGTACGTGAAGGGGAATGCAGCAGAGAAGTGGGAACTTGAGGGTGAAGCAGTTTCTTCCTCCTCTTCCACCCCCTCCCTCCCTCTCCCACTAACCCATCAAAGGTAGTGTTTGCGATATGCCGTAGGCAGCGTATTGTCTTACATTATCTCGAAGGGGTAGGGGAAATATGTCTTTCTTTCCAGTGATTAACTACGCCTAGCACAAGCAGTTTTTCTAACTCACTTTTCCCTCGATCTCCGTCTCTATCCCATTTTTGCATCCTGACTGCCCATTCAGCTTTTATGTGGTCATGTAGTGGGTTTTCTTCCACAAAGAGGCGATACCCAACAGCTGGACCAACACAAGTGAAAGAGGATATGGGGAGGGAAGATGAGGGTATGGCAGTATTTCCCTTCTTCCCGTGACAAAAGGTGGAATGCGGTGTGAGCGGGTTTGACCAAATAAGCAATCTATCCTTCCTCTCACCGAGCGACAACTTCCCTACTGGCATGACAGGACTACCTTTTCCTACACACACCCACACACCTTTCCGTTGTGTTCTGTTGGAGGAAGTGAATCTCACCAGCTACCAACCACTTATGCACTGTCCATTCTGTTGCCCTGCCACCTCAAAATGCCACAAAATAAAGTTGAAGACTAGGCCCACGACAATGAGATTTTAATCGACTTTCCATGATATTCGGAATTCAAACAAATGGGAAATGGAAAAGAGCACAATAACCTGTGTCCTGTGTCCACGATCTGGTGCCCATTTCACAGGCCCCCCACTAGGTACCGCTGGACATTTCAGAGTACATTTGATGTCTCCGCGAGACCTTATTTCCGCTTTTAATATTTCGTCCATTGTTTACGAAAAATTAAAAAGTAGTGGATTTTTAAAGGGCGCATACGCTAATTAAGTCCTGCATGGAGGCCTGAAAGGCGTCAGATTTATGGGGTGACAAATGCGAATGAAGTGCGTTATTTCGATGGATTGCTTAATAACAATTAACTTGTAAATAGCCAGCTGTAAATTTGGACAAGGGGCAGAGAGATTTGCCACTCCGAGGAGAGGCAACTTCAAAGCGCTTATCAATGGCGTCGCACCCCGTGACGTCAAATCGCCCGCTCAAATCTGATTGGGTGGAGATGCATTTGGCCTTTTTTTGTGTCGCTCCCTCTTACAGGGAAAAACTGCGCCTATGACTACATCTGTGGAACCGCCATTAATGGAAGCAACACTTCCACCTCCTCCAGATCGTGGTAAGCTTACCATCGTGAGTACTGTTCCTTCGGGGAGTCTTGCAGCATTCCAGGAGGTCATCTACATCGAGAGGACCTCTGCACTTGGTGATGTGGTCTACATACCCCAGCCGACGGTAGTTGAACAGCGCTGCAATTGTGGCGAGATATCTAGGGACCCACCGGTGCTTGTTCCATTGACAGGGGCCAATAGATTCCCTCAGGTGGGTTCATCAGTGCCTTGAGTGTCTGTCTTCTACATTGGGTCTAAGCCAGTGATGATTTGCTTCGACACTCATCTGAAACAGACTTTACTGAACCTACGGCTGTCATAAGACTGGGAAATGTAGTATGTAAGGGCTTTTGGTGAGTGAACCAACTCGTTATCGGTCGCATCCACTTTCAAGTCACTGCCTCTATGTAGTATAAACACAACTGTCCCCTTTTCAAAGGCCAAAAGGTGATATCTGCTAAAACAATTATCAGCGGCTTTAGCTACTCTCTTCTACTTTTCGCCATCTTGGGATGAAGTTGCGCCTTCACCAGAAAAGTGGAATGGACGATGAGTAGGTAGATTGGGGGAGACAGTGATAATTCCATTCACTTTAACAAGCCACAAAGTTCAAAAGTCAGTTAGTCAGTCAGGACATCAGTCAGCCAGTCAGCCCCTCTTTAAATGGTAAAGGTTTTGACAGTGGTTCAGCTCTAATCGCCACCTCTAACCTTCAACATCACTAGGTCTATTCAACCACGGAAACCCACGGACTCCTTGATCCTCACCAAACAATGACTCCAAAACCCTGACCAGATGTACGGACAGCTGCCAATCCCCCTCTGGCTGTCCAGACGTCCAGTCACATACTCATCCAAATCTGCTCAACCTGTGCGTTTGAAATCTGCTGGAGTTTGCCCCTCACCCCCACCCATTCCCAGTTATTATTTTCGAATTAAATAACCCTGTACAGCTACTTTTTGAAGAAAAAAAAATATCAAATTCTACTGGTTATTAAATCATTTATTAATGTGTTAGATGACTTTTGTGACGCATGCTTTGGTGACACTGAGGCAGGCAGTGATTAGTGGAAGGTGCATCCCACGAAGTGGTGTATTCATACATGAAATTTGCAAAACTTAATCCATGGAGAAGATATTGGCTTCAGTTCTATACATAAATTGGGTGCAAAATGATTTAAAGATGGTGGTTTTTATGATCAATAATTGTGTGGAATGTTTGGTACCCTCAAGGAGGCATAATTTGCCTTTAGTGGAGCACCAAATCTATTTCCCCTCAAACACGCCGAGTTTCGAAAATTTAGCTCGCTCTGGGAACTATGGTAGCCTTTCATATTGATGACAAATAGGTGATTGCAGAAAACTAGGAGATAATTCCCAAACCCGAAGAATAATCCTCTTTTTTAATACAAAAGAAACAGGCGGAAGTGGACAATCAGTCAAAAGAAAGTGGTATTCCTACAAGACAATGCAAGACCCCAAGTCTCATACCGTCAACTTTAGTGTTGAAAAGATTTGCACTTTAGTTGATGCAAAGGGAGAGATGCTGTCGCATTATCATCCACCGTATTCGCACCATAATTTCCACTAAATGATACTTATCTCAACTTTCTCGGCATTTGACAATCACATGCAAAATAGAATCAATGGTTGAGAAATAAAAGTGGGATAGAAAGGGAGGTGACTAAGACCAGGTTTGGTAGTTTTATTCTATAGGGAAAGTTTAAAGGGAGATTTCGCAGACTTTTGCCATACCAAACAACACGAGTTTACTTGATCCCATGTTATTTAATTGGCTGAAGAACAGCTAGCGGTCGCTGTCTCTTTTTTCCCATCTCTTTCTTAACAGAGTGGTTTAATGCATTCACATAATCGCATGAATTCAAGAGCTTTTGAAATGGGTTAAGCTTCCTTACAGCTTAAAACAAACCTGAGGAAATTTTGACCTTTTTTCCAGATCCGCCCTCTTTAATCTATGCTTTACTCCACAGAAGAAGTTCGATTCAATTTGTGGAACTCAGAAATTTGAGATTGTATCAAACCTTGTCCCGTAAAAAGAATATGTGAAAGCATTTTAAAAATCATTTCAATAGTGAAAGGAAATACTCGTGTAAAAGCGAACAAATTATCATTCCAATTGTTAGAGGCAGCCAAAAGGATTTTTTAAGAACATTTGGTTTTTTTGCACGCTGAAAAAGTCAGAACGTTGTAGTTACTGCGGCTAAAAAAGCAGGCGAACAAAAGATGAGTATAAAACACGATCCTTGAAATACGAACTCAAGGTAGAGTAAATATACACAGGCACAAATTTAATTGTCCAAAAATACCCTTTAGTTACTCATGATTTTGTAGTTAAATCCATTAGGGGGATGCATTCGGTCCTAATGTTTGATATGCGTGTACCGAAAATTGGAGGAGTTGCCAATCATAACAGTTGAGTGGAGCGAAAGGAAAATAACCTTGTCACAAAAAAAAACTAAAAATAGTTGTAACTTGTCAAATGAGCATCAA